TTATATTTCCTTTAATACCTCCTCTTTGATGCATGCATTATTTAGACGGGTGCTTCATTTCTAAGTGTTTGAAGATTTTTCTATCATCTTTCTGTTATAGATTTCTAGTTGGACTCCATTATTATCAGACAAGTTACTCAGTATGATGTCGACTTTTTTATAGTTGTTGGGGTTTGTATTATGACCCAGGATATGTTTTATCTTGGTTAATGTTTCATGGGTACTTGGAAACAATGTGTATGCTGCTGTTTGGGGGTAAAGTATTCTATAAATGTTATTCAGATCTTATTGATTGATAATTTTGTTCAGTTCTTCTATATCCTTGCTGACTTCCAACTTAGTGGTCTATCAATTAAAGACTGTGAAGTGTACAAGTCCCTGTAACCGTAGGTATTTCTATTTCTACTCCCAGCGGTATAAATTTTTTAAATTTATTTTTGAATTACAGTAGATATACAACATCATAATAGTTTCAGGAGTGTAGCATAGTGATTAGACATTTATATACCTTACTAAGTGATCACCCCAATAAGTCTAGTACCCACCTGACACCATATAATTTTATTATGGTATTGACTGTATTCCCTGTGCTGTACTTTATATTCTCATGACTATTTTTATAACTGACAATTTGTACTTCTTAATCCCTTTCACCTTTTTCACACATTCTCTCAATACCTCTCATCTGGTGACCATCAATTTGTTCTCCCTATAAATTTTCTATTTTGTTTGTTCATTTGTTTTGTATTTTAGATTTCACATTTAAGTGAATCCATATGGTATTTGTTTTTCTCTATCTGACTATTTCACTTAGCATAATACCCTCTAGGTCCACCCATGTTGTTGCAAATCACAAGATTTCATTCTTTCTTACGACTGAGTAATATTCCATTGAATATATGTACCACATCTTTACCCATTTGGCTATCAATAGACACTTGGCCAATGATACATCTGATAAGGGGTTAATATCCAAAATACATAAGAAACTCATACAAGTTAACAACAACAAAAACAATCTGATTGAAATAGGCAGAGGACCTCAGTAGACATTTCTTCAAAGGGGACATATGAATGGCCAACAGACATATAAAAATATGCTCAATATCACTAATCAACAGCTCTGTTAATTTTTGCTTCATGTGTTCTGAAGCTTCATAGTTTAGTCCAGACACATTTAGAATTGTTATGTCTTCCTGGTGGATTAACCCTTTTATCACTATATATTTCCCTTCATTGTCCAATGATTTTCTTTGCTCTGAAGACTTTACCTGAAGTTAATATAGCCACTCCTATTGATGTTTGCATTGTATATCTTCTTCGATCCTTTTACTTTCAACATACCCATGTCCTTGCATTTCAAGTGAATTTCTTGCAAATATACATGGTTGAATCATTTTTTTAATCCACTCATCCAATCTATTCTTTAATTGTTGTGTTTAAACCACTTATGTCAATTAATTAAGACCTAAGTCTACCAATTTATGTCTTTTTCCTGTTCATTTTCTCAGTCATCTCATCCTGTTTCTAAATTCCTGTGAGTTACTTTATGAGTATATCTCTTTTTATTGTTTCCTTTACAGTTGCTCTAGTTATTATAAATATGTAACTTGTCACAATTAACTGGTATCAGCATTTACCAATTCCACTAAAATGTAGAAATTAGATTCCTTTACCCTCCATACTTTAAAAATATGATTGTCTTAAGTATTTCCTCAACAAACATTGGGCACCACATCAGGCGATACTATAATTTTTGCTTCAACTATCAAATATGATTTAAGAACCTCCTGAGAATTAGGATAGTCTATTATACTTACTCCTATTTTTACCCATTCTAATATTCTCTCCTTTCTTTTTTTTTTTTTTTATCCTCACCCGAGGACATTTTTCGATATTTTGTTCAGATAGAGTGGGAGAGAGAGAGAGAAACATTGATGTGAAAGGGACACATAGAGTGGCTGCCACCCACACGATCCAACCAGGGCCAGGAACAAACTGCAATTAAGATACGTGCCCTTAGCAGGAACTGAACCCGGGTCTCTCCAGACTGCAGGCTGACACTCTAACCACTGAGCCAAACCGGCCAGGGCTTCTCTCCTTTCTGAAGTGTCAATCCTTTTTCTGTTATTTCCTTTCTATTTGGAGAACGTCTCTACCCATTCTTTAAGGGTAGATTTACTGGCAATAAATTCTCATAGTTTTCATTCATCTGAAAATGTCTTCATTTCCCCTTCACTCATGAAAGATATTTTCATTGAATATAGAATCCTGGGTTGACAGTTCTTTTCTTTCAGTACCTGAAGAATACTATGTCACTTCCTTCTGGTCTCCATGATTTCACAAGAAACTTGCTGTCATTCAAATGAGTAATTTTAGTAACATGTCCTTTCTCTCTGGCTGCTATCAAGTTTGTATTGCCTTGTCTAATTGTGTTTAGTTATTATGTGTCTCGCCATCGATTTACTTGGGTTTATTCTATTTGGAATTTGCTTAGACTCTTGAATGCATATATTTATGCCTTTCATTAACTGGGAGAAGTTTTCAGACAATATATCGTCAAACATCTATCCAGTTCTACTCTTTCTCCTCTCCTGGAACTTCCCTGACATGACTGCTTGCTTTTGTTATTGCCCCACATGCCCCAGGGACTCTGTTTATTCCAGTCCGTTATCGCTCTGCTCTTCAGATTGGGTAATTCTATTGCTCTGTCCTAACGTTCACTAGTGTTATCGCCTATCATCTCCGCTAGGGAGCCGATCCAATGAGCATTTTATTTTTGTAACCATATTTTTTCAGTTCTATCATTTCCATTTGGCTCTTTTTTGTAACTTCCATTTCTTTGCTGAGATTTTTGATTTTTTTGTTTGCTTGAAGAGAATTCCTAATTGCTTGTTGAATGAACTGGATCATTTCAACATCTGATTCATGTCAATATTGACTTGTGTTGATTATCTTTGCTCACTCATGTTGTGATTTTCCCAGGTCTTGGATGACAGGGAATGTTTGTATTGCATTCTGAGCATTTTGGATTATATATCATGAGACTCCAAGTCCCATTCCATCTTTTTCCTTAGCATTCAATCTTTCTGTTGAGGTGTATGCAGCAAGTGGATGTTGGTGGGATGGAGAATAACTCTCTGCTCAGCCCCACCGTGGAGAGCTACACATTGTCCCATTGGTGTTTGGCTGGAGTAGGAAAGGTATTATCTCAAAGGCTCTCTTGGATAGGCCACCCCTCTGGTCCTTTAGCTAGAGGAAAAGATTTGTTTTGTTTTTTTTTAAATCTGTGTCTATTGTTAGTTCGGGTGGGAGTCATCTGGATTGCTCTTTTTGGGATCTATGGGAATCAATAAAAAAATCTAGGGAACTCCCCTATGTCTTTAGATTAGGTTGTGTACAGGGATTTTTATTTGTAAGGGGGTGAATCTAATTGAAATGTGGCTACTCCATATTGGCAGAATCAGAGTCTGGATTGCTTTCTATATTCAAAACCACTCCAGTCTTCAATACCCATAAATGCAAAGACAATTTTACATAAATTCTTAGCCCACCTTCTCTAACAATTTTTTTTCATTCATAAGACTTTGTATCTCCAAGTATCTCCAAATATCAAACAGACCCTGTTCATTGGGAAGTTACCTAAAGGAAGGCCTTGATCATTTTAAGCATCTTTTCTATTTACTGTTGCAAGCACCATCACTGGACACTTCTCGGAGGCTTAGAAAATGTTCTGATGCTGCTATATTGGGAAAGGGATGGAATCCAGACCCAGGCAATAGCCAAACAAAGGGAAAGTCCCTAGAAAAATCTGCCTGTAGGTATGTTATTTGTTCTCACCTTAGCCTAGAAAAGGGCCATAAACAAACATTCCCTAGATACACTTGTTCTTTGAACTACAATGTACCTGTTTCTCTCTCATAAAAACCAAGTTTGTTATGTATGATATTTCTTCACCTCAAACTGAAGCTTGGATGTTAATTCTGGTATAATTTTTTCCTTCTCACCTGTGTTCCAGTGGTAATGAATTGTTCTCAATCCTCTGTCATTCATTCCTGCAAAGATGTCCAACCAGGTGCTTCTACCTCTTGCATCTAAGATAGCACCAAGTCACTCCCATTCGGGCAAGGGTTCTCCCCAGCACACAGTGCCTCACAGAGGCCTGCCTTGGCCATGGGCCTCAGCCACCCCATGGGGGTCCACTCTCCAGGGCAGGAGCACTATGTCATTATACCCATCTGGCAGTTACAACAAAACAATGTGAGTAATGGCACCTATGAGTCCCAGGAGGTGTGACATTGTTGTAGTCATAACTATACTTTCAGCCTGAATTGTCACCTGGCCCAGCAGGAGTGGTACTGGCAGCTGTAGTGGTTGTACTGACACATGTAAAGATAGCCTAAAGGAGACAAGATTTATTTTTTAGAAATAGATTCTGGGAATTTTCCTGGAATGCTCCAACTGGAAGGTAAGCTTCTATCCCACTCAAGGTCCTCCTGTAACCCAGCTTCCTTTGGCCCCATCACATTTATGGAGCAGGTGATGTTTGAGCACAAGAGCAGCAGAGAGCAGACATCATCCCTAGCCTTATAAAGTTTACCTTCTAACCCAGGAGACAAGTTACCCCATAGCCACCCCAACAATTATTTAACCCACTGTATTGAAAGCAATAATAATATAACATGCGACTTCAATTGTCTTTAAAATCTCAGCAAGCATCCTATTTTTTCAACGTCATCAACCTAGGTGCCAAGCACGACACAGGATGTGCTTAGCGTGAGAGGAAAAGAAAACCCGTGCGATGGTTTCAGATTCACGAGCATCTGAACTCCACGCATTCATCTCAGTGCCGCGATTTCATGCGGCCTCTTCCTACAGGTTCCACACCCTGGGGCTCTGAGGCCCTCCGTGAGAGACCAGTACAGCTGACACATGTCTATAGGCTGAGACAGTTAGGACAGGGACCACCCGAGGGCCACGGCCGCCTGCAGCCGCCTCACCTCCTTGTTTGTCCGGTCGGCTTGCACCAGCGTCCCGTTCAGGCAAGGCTCCACGTAGTGCAGCTCCTTGTTGTACTGCAGAGAGGAACAGCCAAGAGGAAACAGTTCAGCATGTAGCGGGTCCTGCTTAGTCACGTAAACACACACACAAACCAGAGCCGCACGATCACAGGCTCCATTCATTCTGATAAGATGACTTTTCCAACGTGTGTCCCTAGAGAAACTGAGCTTATGTGCCCCAGACAGACTTGATTCTTCCCCTGTTTGAAGAAGAAGCATCCAGAGCACGTGCTGGTGGCTGCTCAGTGTGAAGAGTTGGTGACAACCCTTTGGAGCGGCTCCGAGCATGGGCGCCCTGGGCGTGGCCGACAGCCCGCGTCCCTGAGGGCTGGAAAGGGCGTCCCAGCCTTGGCAGGTAGAGCTTGAGCTCCTGTCCTGGCTTCACGGAGCCCAGGGAACCATGTGTGGATCACACGTGTGTGAGGACAGAATAGAGGAGAGGCCTCGATGTCCCTGGTCACTCAGGGAGGCCAGGCAGGTGTGGGTCACGACCTTCCTCGCGCACGGTGAGACCACCTCCCACAGAGGCCAACGCCCACCTTCCAATCAGTTTTGATCCCAGAATACCCAGAATAAGACCATTTGTTTTTGTCCAAAGCTCACAAGTAGGAAGAGAAATTTAAATGCTCTTCTTTTCTCCTGTCAAGCATGGTTCTCTGCACTGGAGGTAGGCTGGTCCTTCCAAAATATAAATCTGATTGCTACCTCTTGTCAACCCCTCACAGGTCCCATGTTCACCAGATGAACCTTCCCAGGCCTTGGCGAGGCTCGGAACACCTGGCAGCTGTTGACCTTTCTAGCATCTCCACTCATCAGTCCTCCGCCATGAACTCAGCACCAGCAGCCCAACTTCCCTTCCTGTCCTCTGACAGGTCCTGTCTTTCCCTTCAGGCTCCCCCCACTGGGCCCTCTCCTGGAGCCTGCACCCTGGCATCCCCTGGCTGACTCCTGTTCATCCTGGGGTCAGCTCATTCCTGCCTCCCTGGGGAGCAGCCTCAGGGGCAGGCGCGGCCCCCTCTCCCGAGTACGGAATTCATGTTGCCCGGTGCCTGGCTCCCTCGCCACGAGGTTGGAATCCATGTCTGATTCCTCAGTGCATCCCCTGTGGCAGCACAGAGCTGAGCCCACAGTGGGTGCCTGGGAGCCATCTGCTCAATGACAATGGCAGGGCACTTCCCACTTCATCAACCCCCGCAGGGCTCCTGAGGGGAGGACCATCTCTCGCAGGCCCAGATCTCAGGCACAGTCTGGCTAGGGCATCTGGACCGGAGGACTGAGCACACGGAGGACCGTGGAGGATGAACAGGGGATGAGTGAAATAGAGGTGAGCTCGGAACAACTGCTCTGGACACAGGCAGGAACAGACTCAGGAGGAGCAGACTGGCAGCTGCTGCCACAGGGATGGGTGCATCGGGGTCAGTGCCGAGGTGCGCACAAGCCAGCAGGAGTCGTGATAACACGATTCGGCACTTAACTGTCAGTGAGCACTTATCCTCCACCCACAGGGCATTTCAGCCGCGAGTGGTACGCATTCCCAATTACTTCCCCTTTGCAGATAGGGAAACTGAGGCAGAGCAAGGATGATCCACTTGCCCATAGTCCTACATAAGTAGTGGAGTCCAGACTCAGTCCCAGGTAGCCTAACCTCACAGCCACTGGCCTGAGGACAACCAAGCCCCCAATTCCTCCTCTCTGGTCCCCAAGCCTCCATTTGTCATTACTCTGACTTTTGCTCCTTCTTTAACTTGGTTCTTTGTCTAGGCATACAGACCCATTTGGAAGAGTATGGCTCAGTGGTCTTAGGGCTTAGGTCTCTCCCGATGAGGCACGGAGACACGGCATCCCTGCAATTCCGAATGAGCCACTGACCAATGGCAGCTCTTCGTGATCAAACAGGACATCATCTCAGGATCCAGAAAGCAACCGCAAAGTCCAACCTAAGAAGAGCTTCTCCCAAGTTTTCAGTCACGTTGGACTGCCCATAGAAGCTGCTGGGGGGGAAGGAGCGGCCACCCCGTCCTCCACCCCCTGTGAACTGAGTTGGTTCAGGGTGACAATATAGCTATTCCCACTACAGCAGAGTCATCTGAGCCAATCACAGCCGCCCGGTCCCTCCGCTGGATGCGGGCTTTCATAGCCCTTCTTGCCATGAGGGGTGGTCAGGTGACTCCTTCTCAGCCAATGAAATGTGAAGGGGTGGTTTTCTGGGTAGTTTCAATGAATCTTTTTCCTTTGAACTAAAGGAAAACTCTTCTCTCTCCACTGCCTTTGTTGGCACCTGGGATGGCCCTATGCAGTTGAAGTCATTCTGCAACCACGAGGGGTCGGGTTAATCGTGGGACAAGGTTCACGGAAGACAGTGTGGGCAGAGGGAGCGAGCGTGGGTCCTGGAGGTACTGCTGAACCCCTCTTCTGCCAAGATGAGGAGAAGCCTAGAGGCTGGAGCAGCCCTCGTTCAGGGGTTTCACAACCTGCAGCCATAAACTTTCCAACTCTGTTTTCCAGGGAAAGAGAAAGCTTCACCTACGTCTGCCTAATGCACACTCTCAACGTTGACTCTTGGGGCTGCACGGTCTAAGGTCTACCTTCACCAGGTGCTCACTGTGTGGCTTGGGGAAGTCACTAAACCTCTCTGATCCCAGATTCTTATGCATAAGAAAGTGCTACTTCACCTTCTGTTTCCCCTCCAGGGGTCCCCATGAGGATCCAATGAGGCAAGAGCCCTGAAACTGCTTTGCTAAAGGGAAGGCCTGTGCCTGTGGGGGGCTCAGAGGAGACTTAAAAGCGAAGAAGACCACGCAGTTCTTGCCCTCATCAGGGAGAAACATGTGCAGTAATCAAAACCATGCTCACCGTCACTGTGTGAGCCGTGGCCACAGCGGAGGAATCTGCTCTTCTGAACCCCCGCCAGCTTGTTAGTGGCATCATCCAAGCTTGCAGTTGACTAATTTCCCTTGACTGCATCAGGGCAAAGCTATGCTGAGCAATCTGGTCTGTATCACCAAAGGGAGCCGGGCTCGGCCGTGTGCGAGCGGACGGTGCACACCAGGCCGCTGTGCCAAGGAGGCCCGCTGGCTGGGCAAGCTCACCATGCCACCCCAGCTCCTCCCGGGGACACCAAGGGCACCCTCGTGTGGAACGGCTGCCGAGCTCCCAGCAGCTCTGTCTGGAAACCTTTCTCTTCTGCATTTTTATGGACGTTCCCTCGATTTCTCCTCTGAAACAGTAATGCGGGATGGCCATATCGCCTTGCAGCTGCAGCTCGGGCCACCTCAGCCCTGAGATAGAATGGCCCTGTGAACCCCCGGGGAGATCGCCTAAGGAAGAGGGAGGGGGTGCACTTTGTCACTGGCAACGTGGAGTCTGCTTCCGTCATTTGCTTTTGCTCCTTCCCACTACCAGGATTGAGCCCTAAAGAGGAACTCAACCAGCCCCCTTTCCCTCCAAACGTGGTAAGTTGTTTCTGAAATTTCTGGGAAATGGGAAGACGCTCTTTGCAGAACAGGAGAGGACCCAAACCGCCATGGAGATGGTCCAGCCAGCCCACCAACCACATGCCGAGGAGATGGACAAAGAACCTTCACCTCCTAAAGAGCTCAGAAACAGCCATGTAGACACAGGGCCTCCATCACTGTTGGTTTCCTTCTCCCCTTCGCTCCTCTGGTTGGATCCCCTCCTCTGGCTCACACAAGGCGAAGCAGACAGGCTCTGCCACACACTAACTGGGCGACCCAGGCCAAGGCCCGTTGGCTCTCTGAGCCACAGTGTTTGTGTCGGGGAAACTGGGGATTGAACGGAACCCCCCCCCCCAATCTCACTGTGAGGATTGAATGAGCTGATGCAGGAGAGCCACGCAGAACCTGGAACATAAGACACAGGAAGGGAGCGTCTGGCACACACGCACACACGCACAGAAAGGAAGAAAATGTTACGTGCGTGTGATGCGTGCCACACGGAGAAAATACTACCGTGCACCCTCCGGTTGAATTGGCACTTGCTAAGTAGGAAGGGGACGTGGGGGGCGATGGCAATGCCCCTGAAATCCTCTGGAGAGCACAGACTCTGCACTTGTTGGAGGGAAGTGCTTCACCCATGGGCACGTGCGACTGTCTACATACCTGAGACAGAAATCACCAGGTGTGTGGCCACACACTACCCCACTCGGGGCCCCACTCTGAACCCTCTCGGGGACTGGGGTCTCTGACAGACCAGACATGAAGATAGAGCAACCAGCTTGCTGCCCAATCCCCTTCCAGAAAGTCATCTGCCAGGGACACCTCTGCTCCTGTGTGCGCTCACTGGCTATGAACTGAGCACCTCTGTGTGCCAGGGACATCAGGTACTGGCTAAGGTCCCCATGATCATCACTGTGGAGTGATCATGAACTACTATTTCCCTGCTCTCATTAGTAAAAGAATAGGCTCATTACATCTGCAGATAACGTCTGCTTTCCTTTTCAGAAGGAAATGCGCTCATCTCTGATGCTGCCGTGAGCCACCCCAAAACAAAATCAGGCTTGAAATCACCCTTGATCTTCAGTGTTATGCTACATCCCAGCCCTCTCTTCTCGCACGGACTGTGCCTCCCCCTCCGCTGTGCCAGCCACCCCCTCCGTTGTGCCAGCCACCCTCTCCGTGCTCCTAGAGCAGGGCTACCACATGGTCCTCCTTGTCCTTCCTGTCCCCAATCTCTGCAAGCTTTCCTGACACCTCTCATTTTAAAGATACAGCAACATCCTCAATGGGAATCTTAATGATGATCTAAACTAGGAAAGGCAAGTTTCCATTAAATGAATGGCCAGAACGTTTTGGACAAGGATCTATAAACAAACAAAAATGGGCCGGACTCGCCCACCAAGGTCCCGCAGTCAGCACTCGTGTGGAACCGTGTCACTCTGGTTAGTGGGGGTCGCAGCCCAGAGGGCAGAGAGTAGAGGATGGCGGACTCGGGGCTCTTGGTGCGACTGAGCACTCTGCACCCCGCTCCACTGTAGAAGCGCGACGTGGCCAATGAAA